TTACTGCTTATACGACGACGCACCCTGCAAGTCACGGGCGACCTCTGGGAAGCATCAAACATGATAGAAGACGTGGGTCCAACGACGAAAAGTGGGGACCACAGGCTAAAATAAGTGATCTTTAAGCTTCCCACAACCGTCCACCCAGCGACCGCCCATCCAATGCCCAAAAAAATGAAGGAGACAGGGACAATGACTGGAAGTGCCACGCCCGCAAACGATTATTATGTGCCAAAAAAACATTCCATGACATGCTATAGCCCTATATCTAAAATGTAAAATAACATCCTTTCATCTAATAACTTTGGTACATCCACCATTTTGATATGTTCTGATGTCATAATTTTATTTATAACGTATCTAGGAATCATAAATAAAATTAAAATATTAAATATAATTAAAAAAATTGTATCAGAAAAATAATATATGAGTGTTATATTCTATTTTTGGGTTACTATAGTGTTTGGTCATTATAGTTTATATTACTCTTATTTTGATTTTAATATTTATAAATTCAACTAATGGTTTTTTTAGCCTCTCAATAAATAAAATAGTTTAAATTTTAATTAAAATATAAGAATTAATGTTTTAGAATGATAGTACTTAGGAACTAAAATTTATAATTTGAAACTAAAAATAACAAAATCAAAATAAAGACCAACTATAACAATGAGACATTATATTATTTTATTATCGTATATATTGTTATTGTATTACAACATGCTTTAAAACAAGATTTTAGATATGATTTTACGGAGCGCGAGATAAATATATCTATAAAAATTTTATTTCAATTTATATAAAAGTACTTTTTAACCAAATACCCCTTAATTCCTTAGTCGTTATCCCAACTCAATTATTGTAGCTCAATATTGTATAATATCATTTACCTAAAAAAATTCCACGCGGCGACCGGAATTGAAAGGACCCCGCGGACAAATAATAATTATATAGATGGATGAAAAAAGATTCCATGTGATGGTTTTCGTACACACATTGGAGAATTTATTATTTGGGCTAATATAAATTTTGCTCCATCAATCTTATCCTCATTTTGATTTTAATGTTTTAAGTTTCAAACTATAAGTTTTGATCCCTCAAGTTTCTTTTTATTTAAAATATTAGTCTCTATAATCTAATAAAACTTTGATAATTTTACTTCTTGAGGAATCTAAACCTATAATTTAAAATTTAAGAGACTAAAATCAAAATGAGGATAAATTTAAGAGAACAAATATTATATTATCCCTTGTTGTTTTATGTAGAGTTGTTGTTACCCCAATTATGTACGTAATTTGGGCTAGGCTTCTCTCTTCATTTTTTTTTGTTGGCCCTTCCTGCCATCTGCTGCCTTCTTTTATTTTATTTTATTTTATTTTTTTCATTTTCTTTCTTTTTCAACTCTGCACTAAACCTTGCCACGCTGCTTCTCCCGGCCCTCTTTCTCCCTACACACCTTATCCATGCTCCAAGGACAATATAACAAAATCCCGAAAAGAACATTTAAAGAAATTATTTTTTTGACCAAAAATTGATGTTATTGTTAACTCTTATCAGTTTTCCTCAGACCTCAATCATAAATATTAGCCCCTATACTCATAATTTATTAGTTATGACCAATGTAAAGATGGATTATACAACATATAAGCTGCCAAAAAAAATACAAAATGTAAAAAATATTACAACTTCTAGTCTTTAATATAAAAACTAAGCAACTAATTTATAACTATTAAGAAAATTAATTAAGTTAATTTTTTTGTCACAATTAGTTAAGTTAGTTATTTGTAACAAATAAATGTTGTTTGTCCTAAAATACCCTTATTAATCATGTGTATTAGAATGAAAACCCCTTGTCATGTACAATCATAATATGGGCAACTTTGGGTTATTTAAAATTATAAAAAGATTAAACTGAATTTGAATCATCCAAGACTTTGGATGGTCTAGATTAAGATAAAAATGATGGTACCTCTGGTTCTAAACATAAGAGCTTATCAAAGATTTAATTTGAAAATAAATATAAGATACCATTTCACTTTTGTCACCCGTATTTATTCATTTTTTTCTAAATAGTTTCTATTATGATTGTACATCTTAATAGGGCTTTATTTTAATGCATATTATCAACGAGGACTGAAAGTAGTACTCCTCCAATCCTAAATATAAGGGTCTTATATTTAGGACCAGAGGAGTCATACTTTTTACATTCGGTATTTTTTTGGCAACTTATCTATTGTATAATCCACATACGTTAGTCATGATTAATAGAACATGAGTATAGGATATTTATAATTGATAACAACTGATAAGAGTTAACAATAAAATCCTTTTCTTTTCCTTTCGTTTTTTTTGGGCTTTTGTTATTTTGTCCGTGGAGCATAGTCATGGATGAAGTGTTTAAGTTAAAAGAGAAAGAGGGAGGAAGAGGCAACGTGGCAAGGCTTGGCGGAGAGTTGAGAAAGAAAGGAAATTTTTTTTTTTTTAAAAAAAGAGGGCAGCCGACAACTGCGAAGAGGGTAAAAAAGGGAGAGAAGCCTAGTCCACATAATTTTATACTTATTTCTTTCATAGACTTATAATTAGTCTAATGAGTGACATAATAATTAAATAAAAAATTATATTATGCTATATAATAATATTTATATATAAAAATAAAACATCAAATTATTATATAACATGAAAATAAATTTAAGTAGTTCAATTTCACAATGATATTGTGTGCTCTATTTTTCACTCCCATTTGATTTTAGTTTTTCAAACTAAAATTTACTTTTGGGTTTTTCACTTCACATTTTGATAAATTAAATTATAGATATACACAAGTATAAGTGGCACACATGGGTTATCATGGACTAATTATAAGAGAACAAAAGTTTAGAAAATACTACTTAGGAAATTAATTAAGACAGTAATTAGTGTGTAACAAATGTATCTTGATTTCTTTAAACCATCCTCTTTAATTATGTGTAATGAAATTACTCCTTGACATATGTGATCAATATGAATATTTTGGGTTTAAAGTTATAAATTTGGGAAGGAACTAGATTGAACTTTTATATTTAGGGCTACTATGAACCCCCAATCTAAACAATGAGTATAGAATATTGGGTTAAGGTGTATTTAATACCCTAAAATATTTTTTTAGGTGTATCCAATACTGTAAAGTATTTTATGGTGTATCCAATACTTTGAAGTATTTTTTTTAGATGCTTCCAGTAGAGCCAGTAATACGAGCCAACCCACCAGTTATGGTTTGGCCCATAACAGGCTCAAGGACCGGTTGGCCAGTCCTGACAGGACTGACTTTTGGCAAGCTAATATTTTACCAACCCTGCTTGTCATAGTGGATTGGTGGGTTAGGCCCGCCAACCCGCTACTTTCTTTTTTTAAAATTTTTTTGTGCCTTTTGTTTTCTTTTAATAAAATCTATTTCAATTCTTAAACACCTAAAATAAAATATATAAATAGAAATGATCATAAATGAAATATGAAACCCAAAGTTTCAAACATTTCGAAATATTAAGCATATATGATACATCATCCTAAATGATTAAAAATACATCCCAAATTAAAACATAACAAATCTAAATCAACAATAACACAAACATGAAGTTACAAATCACTATATGAGCCAACATTCAATGTTGATATAGTTCGAATAATGATAGAAAGATGTCAAATTATTTGGTTGAGCTTGATAAGTAGAACCACGTTCTTTACTACAAATAAAATTCATAATGCCAAGTGAAAAATATATTACATTATGATAATTTTAAATAATGAGAATGAGATAAAGGACCAAAAGAGTAAACATAATTATATTTGAAGGGAGAAAAAAATTTGAAATAAAATAAAATAACACAGGCTGGCCTGCCATCCCTGCAGGTTAGCTTGCCGTGGATTCGGTCTTGACAGTCATAGGCTCAAAATATCCGTTTTAAAACGAGCCTAATTTTTATCAACCCAACCCCCCACTTCTTGGCGGGTTAGGCTCAACTCATATTAACGTCTTTAGCATCCAACATTACGAAGTATTTTTTGGTGCATTAAGCACCTTAAAGTATTTTTCTTGGTGCTCCTAGCACCCAAAATTATTTTTTGGTGCATCTAATACCAAGACAAAAAAAAACTTTAGGGGTGTTGGATGCACCTAAAAAATATTTCGAGGTGCTAGATGTACCATAAAATACTTTGAGATACTAGATATGCCTAAAAAAATATTTTAGGGTGTTGAATGCACTTTAACCCTAGGTTACTTAACAAAGTGTACTAATATCTAGGTGGCTAGGCAATGTTTAGGGTTATTGTCATTCACTTGGAGGGTCCTTATACGCATTAACAAATAATATAGAGATGACGAGTTCAGTCTAATTGGGACTAGGAATGTTAACAGATTCATTCATCAAGGACATGCTCATCTCATCACATCAGACATCACTTACTCCATTGCATTCATTCATTAGTACTTTGAAGTAAACAAGGTTTAATTCAACTAGATAAAAGAAAAATGACAGAAAAATACTTATTAAATTTTAAAAAGACAAATAAGTCATGTTGACTACTCTTATAATGATTTTGACTACACTTGTAATGGTTTTGAATTCAAAATTGGTTAAATTCATCTATTTGTCATTTCAAATTCCACAGGTATTTTTCGGTCAAGTTTTCTGGATAAAACCACCCATACACTCCTCAATTGTTAAATTGCTATGGATATTTTATTTATCTAGGAGCTTGGATAATAGGCTCCGTTTAGAGATCAGCTTAGATTAGTTACATTTCTACTTTAGAATTAATTTCACCCCCAAGGCAGCATGGACAGGAGATCAATGAAGTACACATATAGATCTTTCATTCTTCATCAAACATACATAGGCTTTATTCATGGCAAATCGTTTGCCATTTATTTATGCCCGAGACATGCATAGTACAACATAACTGCTGTATTTCGTGCAGATATCTATTGCTTAGATTTATTTATTATTGTGGGAGGGCATACTTCATATAGAAGCAGCAAGCTTCAAAACTGGTGTTTCTTTATTCCCTTTGATTGGGTATGCACCAGAACAATTTATGTTACATACTCTGTGAGCAGCACCAGTGTTTCTTTTGATGAAGATGTAGCCACCTTGTCCCCAAGAGGGTCCCCATGAGTTCTTGACAATCCAATAGTCTTGACCATCACTGGTTGAACCATATCCTACAATTAATACAGCATGATTGTGTTTACAGGAACCGATGCTTGAGCAATCGTTCCCATTAAAGATTCCCTGCCAAAGTTAAGAAAGCAACCGTTAATTACTTTTCAAATGTGTCTTGTTGGATGGTAATGAAAATTTGACTTACACCCTTGTAAGACTTGAAATGAGGGCTTGCATATAGAGAAACACTAATAGGTTGCTTGAAAACAAAACGACGGAGAGAACTTTCGGATACAGGCGTGTGATACCAATAATTATAGCTATCAATAGTAGCAAATTTCTTTTGGTTCCTGCATCAAAATAAAATAACAATAATTAGAGTAAAACTATAATTAAAAAAGATGCATATATTTAAACTAGCCAATTAGTAGACACAAGTTTAGGCAGTAGATAAACACTAACCAGTGTGAAATTGCAAGCACTATCTTTAGCTTTATATGGATAATCCCTTTCTGACGCTATACCACGATTGTTGATGACGTATTGAAATGCATTACTGTGCCATCCTCCATCACAGCCTTTGTAATTCTTATCGCAAGATATGAGTTGTTGTTCAGAAAGAACTGGAAGCCATTGCTTAACTATTTTATTTATTCCTTCTATGGCTCCAGTTGCAGAGAATGCCCAACAACTACCTGTAAAAATGGATTTGATTTCGCTATTATTCTTTTCTTATGTGCTACTATTAGTTTACAATGAAAAAAATAAGTAAACTTAAACTTACCACGTTTGCCTTGGTCTTTGACATAAGTTACAGCTCCTTTGGTCCTCCAATCCCAAGAAGAAGGTGCATTTGGACAGGCTGCATCATTCAATACCATTTTGCTGTTGTGGCTTCCCATTATGAGTTCCTCTGTCTCATGGAAGTAGATTTTACTGAACTCTTCGTAGCTCATATCTGAAAATTTGTTCAACCCTAGACAATACTCATAGGGTGACTTTCTTTTTGCATTTTCCTCTTTGATATTTTTCAAATTTCTTTCAAAACCTGAAATCTCATCACCTCCTCTTCTAGGGTTTTGTATTCTCGTTCGGTCTCCTCCTTCCACATTTGGAACAGGTGGAAGATTTCTTTTTCAGAATTGAATTTCTCAAGATCTTGGTTCAGAATGGAATAATCATTAGGAACACCGAAAGAGAGACAAATGAGAGAATACCAGAGAAAGAGAAGGAGGAGCAATTTAATAGCAAGTGAACTCATTGTGCACTAGAAGGAGATAGTTATCAAGCGTTTGGATTGTGATTCTTGCATGGCATTGTTTCATATGTGTGTATATATATATATATATATATATATAGAGTCCCTTAGTCATAGTTGACAATTATTAAATAAAATTTGAGTTTAATACAAAGAAATAAAAAACCTAACATCCGTATATTGATTGAACGCGTACAATACATATATAAAATGTTCATATTTATTATATCCAACATCTTATACCTAGGTTCTCAAATGTTAGATAAATTACATTTCCAATGTACTCAATCTCTGAATCCAGGGTAGAATGGATATTCCAAGAAATTGGTGCATGACTTTTCAACCACAGTCACTACGGTAATAACTTTTCAGTGGCGACAAGTCGTCCCTAAAACAAGTCACCACTGAAAGTCAATTTTTTGGTAGTGGTGGACCCTGAAAATAATTAATTTTTACTTGTGGGATATTAACAATTACGTATTTTGCCACATGCATTATATTTTTAGTTTTTAAGATTGTTGTCTACTTACAAGTCCTAAACCAGCGAACAGTGCACCCATAGGATTATGCTTGAGGACAACATTTGTCGTCAGTTTTTAGGTTTACGGCATTTAGATTCTCTTAATAAATGCTAATTAATTTTCACGATTAGGTGATTCGAGCAACTGCATTCTTGTTCTTGACGAAGAAATCAATACAAAAAAAAATTCTAATTATTAAAAGCTTCATCTTTACAGATTTAAGAAATCTGTTAGTATCAGTTGAAAGTAATAAATATATAAAAAATGTACTTTGCTTTTTCAAATATGCCCTTATTGATAAGAAGATAAGTTTGAGAGAGAAATAGTGAAGAAAAAATATGAAAGAGAAGGTATGCGAAAAGCATAATGCAAGTAATTGAGAGTATTGGTAAAAATATATTTAATATTCAGATGACCGCAAATTGTATCTTACAAAAAAAAAATGGACCAATTAAAAAATTTGGATGTTATAAAAAGAAGTGGAGGGAGTATAAAACTACGAAATTTGATAAGTAATTAACATTTATTGAGAAAAACCCAACTGCCATTAAACGTAAAACAGGCAAAAGTGTTCTACACTTCTACTCTAAAGTAATCCCATGCAGTGGACTGTTCCGTCAGTTTTGGACTTTTAAGTCGACAAAAATCTTAAAGTAAACACATCAAGCATGTGGAAAATACGTAATTGTTAATATCCAATGAGTTAGCTTTTTTTCCTTCTTGGAGTAACTCCTTTTTTTTCTTTGGGTGAACTATTTTGGATCCGTAATTATTATATTTAAGATTAAATTAAAAGTCAAACTAACTTTTATATTAAGAACTAAGAATACTTTTTTGATCTAAGGAAGTTAGATAAGTTAGTTAATTCTAAGAAATATGAAATATTTTTCATAAAACACCATAATCATTTTTCTTAATATCCTTCCTCCTTCACTTACTTTATTATGATTGAGAGAGTATCCATAAGGATAATTTAGAAAAAATTGATAAATATGAGAAATAGGTTTTATATTTGGGACCAAAATTAACATAACAATTAGGTCATATATTAAAGACTGGTGGAGTAGTATTTTTTTCATTCTTCTTTTATTTACTCCGGATATAATAATTATGCTATATGCCGTGGACTGATTCCTTGGGTTCGGCGTTCGGACTTATGGGGACCAGGTTATTTTATTATCTACTTCCTCTTGTCACAATATAAGTCACTTTAATTAACTTATTTGTTTTGCCAACCACTTTATCTAATTTATCAGAATTAATAGATGATAGTTAACTTATTAAATCTATTTCAAATTAATTTTTTCCAATTTTATCCATGTAAATGAGGTTGTGAAGGAAAGAAAAAAAAATAACATTAATTGCGGGAACAAAATTAACAATCTTTCAAGTGACTTATATTCAGGGCTGGAAGGAAGTATTAATCAAATACATGAAATTATTATCCAACCCGTCACCAAAGTATGCTATGACGTAGTCCGTCGGTTTGGGACTCTGAGCATTTTATAATTGTTTCCTTACATATTACTTTTTTGTTTTGCCATGAATATTTGTTTGAAAAGGATCTTAATAATTACTATTTCAACTAACTGATTGAGATTTGTTGGGGATTTATTAACTTTTACTGTAATGTGTTCTCTTGTACCAATTTATAAATGTGATATTTATATAAGTGTTGGTATAATAATAAATGATGTGCGAACATATCGATTTAGTCGAAATAATCCACCCAACATTTTTTTTGGTTGATTACTTCACAAAATCCAATAATCGATGATGGACTAGTCCTAAAACCTCAGGATTTATGAATAAATTTAAAGGGAATGTCTATTGTTGATTTAAGAGATGCGTGTAGGAAAATTAGAGTACTCATAGGCTGTCATTAGGAGCATGATAAAGAGAGGCCATATTACCTCTGATCCTTAGTATAAAAGCTAGTTGACTAATTTGAGTAGATTAAGAGAGTTTGTTAAGTAAGTATTTGTAATACATAGATGTTGTCTTTCCTAAAATATCCTTATTAATCAAGTATATTAGGTACAACTACTATTTGATGAAACTATTAACATGTGTAACTACTACAAAGACTACTTTTGAAAAAATAGATAAATATGAGAGACAAAATGGATTAGGGTCTTATATTTATGACCAAATAGAAAGTCAAATTAGTTCTTGTATTAAATATCAGAGGTAGTATAACTCAAAACAGTGTTTCTCCGTAACTTGGTTTGTCATTTTTATTTTTTTGATTTTGATTGATTTCCAACTCACTCTTGGTTTTCCTTAATTAAGATTAATTATGGCCCCAATTTTGCATCAAGAAAATTACTCCTCCAATCCTAAATATAAAATCTTTATACTAGTGTGTATAAGGGTCTTATATTTAGGACTGAAGGAGCATTTCAGTGATAGCTTTCATCTGAGCAATACACTGTCTTCCATTTTGAAGATAAAAGTTTGAACCACATAGAAACTTTATTCATACTAAGGCTTACATAAGGTTGAACCACATAGAAACTTTTATTCATACTAGGGCTTACATAAGTTTCATTTAAAGGAAAATCATTTTCCATTTATTCATGCCCAATCCTTGGCTTTATTTACTACTACTGGTCTTCACATAGAGGATGCAAACTTCAAAGCTTCTTTACTTGCTTTCATTGGGAAAGAACCAGAGCAATTTATGTTACATACTCCTTGAGCAGTCCCTGTGTTTCTTTTCACCAAAATGTAACCACATTGTCCCCAAGAAGGTCCCCATGAGTTTTTGACAATCCAATAATCTTGATTTGCACCCGACGAACCATATCCCACGATTAATACAGCATGATTATGATAACATGACGAAATGTTAGCGCAATCATCCCCGCTAAAGATTCCCTGCCCAAAAAAAAATTAAGAAATTAAACAACCACTTGTCAAATATATCACAAGGAATTAAGAGTCATGCAACATACATACATATATATATATAGCTTGTTTAGTTAATGTATGCGTTTGGGTAATCAGTTCGATGCATAGATAATGAAGATCAATATGTGTAATAACTTACATTGTTGTAAGACATAAAATTGGGACTTGCATATATGGAAACACTAATAGGTTGCTTGAAAACATAACAAAAGAGAGAATCTTCTGAGATAGGTGTCTTCCACCAATAGCCATAGCCATCAATAGTAGCAAATGTCATTTGTTCCTGAATTATATAAATAATAAGAAGGAAAAGATGGTTAAACGAGAATGAGATCATACAAGATTTTAATTACACAATCGACAAAAGCAAAGAAATCAAAGGAAAGAATAAAAACTAACCAGTGTAGAATTGCATGCGCTATCGCTAGCTGTATAAGGATAATCTCTTTCAGTGTCAATACCCTTGTTCATGACATAATCTAATGCCTTAAAGTGCCACCCTCCTTGGCAACCATGGTTATTCGTATCACAAGATATGAGTTGTTGTTCAGAAAGAGACGGAAGATTTTGTGTGACTATTTGAGTTATTCCTTCTATGGCTCCAGTTGCAGAGAATGCCCAACACGAACCTATATATATATAGATGAATTTGAGTTACCATTATTATATATACTTTTTACATATAGGTTGTGGAAAAAAAACCGTGGTTAATTTAAACTTACCACATGAGCCTTGGTCTTTAACGTAAGTTACAGCTCCAGACAACCTCCAATCCAAGGAAGAAGGCGCATCGGGACAGGATTCACTGTTTGACACCATTTTGCCTTTGTTACTTCCAATTATGGGCTCTTTCATCTCACGTAAGTAGATTCTGCTAAACTCTTCGTAAGTCATATCTGAAAACTTGTTCAAACCCAAACTATAATCGGTTGATGACTTTCTCTTTGCATTTCTCTCTTTGATATGCTTCAAGTTGTTTTTGAAAATCTCAAATCTCTTTACCTCCTCATTTAGGGTTTGGTATTCTCGTTCATTCCCCTGCTTCCACTCTTGGAACAGATGGAAGACTTCCTTCTCAGAATTGAATTTGTCAAGATCTTGGTTCAAAACGGAATAATCATTGGAAGCACCAGAAGATAGACAAATGAGAGAATACCAGAGAAAGAGAAGGAGGAGCAACCTAGTGATGAGAGAAGCCATTGTTGACTTAAAGGTGATATTAAGCTTTGGGATTGCTCTTCTTCGATAGCATCGTCCCAAATATATAGAGACACAATCACTTATCATTGGTAGGTGACATTTGACAAGTTAGTAATAAAATTATTAAATTATTTATATTTTAACACTCCGTATATTAGTGGAACGCGAATGTTGAATAAGTTACATTTCCTATGTACTAAATCTGTATTCAGCCACTAGATACTATTAAAAAAGAAAACAAGATACTCTTTTTTCGGATATAGCAGTGTGTTGCATATTTTAATTTTTTTATTTTGAGATAAATTTGTTGATTTCTATTCAAATAAAATAAATACAACTTTCAATTATTTTTATGAATAATATCCTTGAGTAATTTTTTTGAAGGCCATGCATTATCTTCAAATTGTTAAATGATATTTCTTTCACGTAATACCGAAGGAAATGCATAGGGAATATATTATATGATGAGGTATATGTCATTAAACAATGTTATCTTTAAGGTATTTGAGTTAATATATATATATATATATATTTAAATTAGGGCTTTTTTTCAGCAGGAATTCTTCTTTTATGATTAAAAAGAAGATTGTATAATTAGCCTATCTCTATAAAATAAAGCGCTGCGTCGTACTTTCCTCATTTTATTATTAGAAATCACAAGTCACTAACCGTTTTTACAGGGAATTATTTGTCATACTTTTAATCGTATTATAGGATATTTTCAAGGCGCAATTATTGCAAGTAATGATAATATTATTCCATGACTCTAATCAATGAGATTTTCATTTTTCTATACAACTATGGAGCAACTAGATTCACTATGATAACAATAGGAGTGCTATAAAATACGACCATTAGAAACTGGGAATTTAATGAGAATTAATTAAGAATTCGTTAAGAGAATCCAAATGTCATGAAACTTAAAAACCCGAAAACAAACGCGTAAACGTAATAAACTCTTACACTACTCGGTGGACTATTTCGTTGGTTTCGGACTGGGATTTCCTTAGTATATTATTTTAATATAAAATAAATTGAAATCTGTCAAAATTTTAACAGATTGGCTGTGATAATAAACACGTAAACTAGAAGCTTAAAATATTTTGCTGGGAACTAATTCGCTGGATTGAGACTCTGGACATTTTATACTTGTTATACTATCTTGGGTACTTAACATAAGAACTAATTAAGAATTAAACTTAGTCCTAAATATAAGACTTCAATCCACTCTTTCCTCCCAAATTTGTAATTTATTCTTTAAAGTATCTCTATTAATTACATGTGTCAAGGGATTTTCATTCAAGGGTAGTCATGATTAAAAGGGTTACTTGAGGAAGATCAATTCATACTTGCTATAAATATCTAACTTAACTAATTTTTTTAATCTACTCAAATTAGTTAAGTAGCTTTTATATATTAAGGACTAGAGGTATAGCGTGTTGTGTGTATAAAAAGAAATACGTGTGTTTGCTCTAGTTGATTGCATTAAAAAATTTCACTTAAAAGACTTTTTGTGAGATGATTCAAAAATCGCGGACGTAATCTGGGAGTTATTAGGATAGTATGGAATGAAACAATGCGTTCGTAAATAAAAATATAGTGGAATTGAAATAGTGCAAGGTAGCATCTAGCGTCCTGATGTTATTTCTCAGTAACATTTAATATGATGATACTCCTCCGGTCTTTAATGTAAGACCCATTTAACTAATTTGATTAGATTAAGGAAGTTAGGTAAATTAGTTAATTATAAGAAAAGTGACACATTTTTCCTAAAACACCATAATCATCTTTCTTAGTACCCCCTCTCTCTTTTCTACTTGATTATAGTTGAGGGAGTATTCATAGGGGTAATTTAGAGAAAATTGATAAATATGAGAAATGGGTCTTATATTTAGGACCAAAGCCAATTCAAAAATTGGGTCCTATATTAAGGACCGGAGGAGTATTATTTACGGCGCATCCAACACTTTAATGTTATTTTTTTAATACATCTAGCACCCTCTCATATTTATGGTATATTAATGTTGGATGCACCATAAATAAGATTAGGATGTTGGATGCAACTCTAAAATAATATTGGAGTGCTGCATGAGTGCTGCATGTTACTTTACCCTACCCAATATGATGGAGTGACAAGTTGCATTTTAATTCATTATTTGTGATTTTCACTTAGTTGGGTGGAGAGAAAATGAGGGAGGAAAAAAAGGCGAGTTTTTTTTTTTTTCATTTGGATGAAAGATAAAAAAGAAAAAGAAAAGAGGAAAGCAAAATCAGAGAAAAAATGGAATTTCAGACCTGTACCATTTTCTCTCCAACTTTTCTCTCTAGTTGTGAAGAGAAAATGAAGCAAAAACTCATTTTCCTCTTCATGCCCTCCATATTTCATTTTTATATTATATTGTTAACATTTATTAATAATGTTAAATAATGTATTAATTATTTATTTTCTTTTGCTATATCTAATTTCAAAAATTTGTTCACTTTTTATTTTGTTTACCTTGGAAAATAACATTTTTCTCTAAATTATATGGTTTCAAAATGTAGTAACATGAAAATATATACTAGGATTAGTAAATTAGTTAATTATAATAAATATGACATGTTTTTCTAAAATATTTGTGTATAACATCGAATTATAAATAAGTTTATAAGTTAGGTAAATTAGTTTGATGAAAAATGATAAATAAAACAAAATGAACCGAGATATTATGAACTAACTCATATATTAGGCACTGATGTAGAATATATATAGTTTGTTTCTCACATGATCAGTAATTTGGCACTGTAGTCCGTAGATGGAGCTAGTCCAGGTGCAAAGATTTTGCTACAGTAATAATTCATGACTTCTTATTTAAGATTTATAATGGCCATGAGTTCATAACAACTTGGAATCAGAAGTTGACTGCAGATTTGCTAGTCAGTGCTCTAGTCTCTATAATCTGCATGTTACTTTCCCCAGTCTCCTCCCCATGAATTCTTCACAATCCAATAATCTTTTCCATGTTTTGAACCATATCCAACAATCAAAACCGCGTGGTTTGCATAAGTTGAACGGTTCTTACAATTCCCTCCATCAAAAATTCCCTGACAACATAAAAATAGTAGTTAGGAGAAATTTCAAAGCCATGATCGATATTTGGGCAGTTAAAAAAAAAACATTGTCAAAGGTTATGCGGTACTTTTCAAAAAGCTTGAATTGTACACACAACTTTTTGGAGACACAAATTGAAGATAGATTTTATATATACTTGAAAACCCCAAAAGATTAATTCAATAAAATAATAAAGTAGGATAATAAAAACGCATTAAAGATTGAATGAGGACTGAGAAAAGACGTACATCCTCATAGAATTGAAGATATGTTGCATCGAACGCCACGGTAGTTGGCTGCCTAGCAGTGGCACATAAAAGAGCAGCATCTGATTTAGGTACTTTTGCATGGCTATTAATTTGCACGACTCTGCCTCCATTTTGCTTAACAAGCACATATAAGAAACCTCAAATTAGACACATATAGAAGATATCATTGTTATAGTTTCAGAGAGAGAGAGAGACACGAAGACACAGAGAAAGAAACAAACCTTAGCTTTGCAAACACCATCTCGAGCTTTATAAGGATAATTAGCTTCTTCACTAATGCCACCATTTTTTATGACCCATTCAAAGACACTTTCGGTATATCCACCTGAACAACCTTCGCTTGCAGAGTCACAATCTACGAGTTCTTGTTCTGAAAGGGAAACAAGTTCTCCTGTGCTTATTGCATTTACTGATTCAATAGCTCCAACGGTTCCAAATGCCCAGCAACTCCCTATGAACCATGAAAATATTAATTCGTTAGTCCACTGAGGTTCCAGACAATTTTGACTAATATGCGCGTACGATGTAAATGACATACTTCAATTAAGACTAATATGCGTGTACTATGTATGCGTCAAGCATAAAGATTTTGTTGTGGATATGTTTAATCCTGGTGGGCGCAATGCTTTAATCCTCGCTAAAGAGGAAGGTTAACATATATAGGTCCTCACCTTCATCCATTGTCGGAATAATCCAAATTCTTGTTCTCCCTTTAGAGGGAGAACGGATTCTTCAGTGGGGAATCCTGAAGAGAGAGATATGAGAATGGAACAAAAGATCAAGAGATGAAGGAGCAGCGTTTTAGAAGAAATGGAGAAAGCCATGCGTGTTTTGGTGTTTCAGATACTGAGAGATGAAACTTCAAATAAGCTTGCATGGAAGTGAGACGAGTGAGGAGGTATTTATAGCGTGATTCATGTTAGCTCTGAAGGAAAAAGGCAAAATATAGATAACTTTGTATTTCATGTAAATGTATCTTCCCAGCATCACCATAGAATTTATGTGGGGTTAATAACATTGGTGGTTCTTATAATTTAATCGAATTTTGATTTTGATCCACGTGGGCTCAAATCATTGGTTTTGGTCCTTATAAGTTCGTAAAGATTTGGTCTGAATTCAAAATCACAATAACAATATTAACCCATTTATTTTTTATCGGAATGATTCATATTTTGACCATATATTTTATACTGATAATTTCAGCCCACTGATGCTAAGGGTTGGGAAAAATGAATTTTGCGACGCGAGAATATTGAAGGCTGGACGACATATGGGGCTCTAAATTTGAAATTTGTTTTCCTTCCTCCCTTCACTATCTTGTCGTTCTTCCTCACTAGCTAAACTCTTATTTTTAGGATTATCTTAGACTCCTGCATATACTTAATACGTATTTCCCCTTATATTTATTCAAGATATGATCACGTTGATTTTATTTTATAATGCGTCTTGTCTATTAGCCACGTGTTAGTTCTTGTGTTCACTTAATAGATGCTTAAGAAATTTGAGGAACCTACCCTATGTTTAGATGGGTAGAAAATTAGGGAGAAAATAATAGTAGGAGGAAAAACTCTCAAAATTAGTAACTTTTTTGACTTTTTTTGAAAATTTCCCTTCCAATTATTTCATCCTGCTATTTTAGTTTTTGAATAATCATATTC